CATCAAAAAAAAAACTATTGAAATAAATTATAAAAACTCGGATAAACATGTTATAACTAATTCTAGCCAAAAAAAAATGTTTTATAAACTTTTTTGAAAGAACCTTTTACAATATTATCATGATATATCCTATATATAGATTTCTTCTCGCTACCTCAATTTTAAACAAAAAAAATATTTTTTGCAATAAATTATAGAGTTAAAATATTAGTTTCAGCTTGCTATAAATAAGTTCATTTAAAATTTTAAATAAGCTGTTTAAATTTGATTTATAACCATGTTATTCACATAAAATTGCGGGAAAAAAAATCATAAAAACTATGATACATTCATAATAAATATATTTTTTGACATGTTTCTAATGTTTAATATAAGATACAAAAACGAATATTGGAAAGTAAAGTAAGTTAAAACTATTTTCTCGTTGAGCAAAACAAAGAAATAGATACGTCTTTAAGTATTTTGTACAACTTTAAATATTTGAATTTTATGTAAATTCTTAACAGCGGATTATATTTTTAGAGAAGCTATTTTGATAAGATTTGTTGAAAAACTTTGAATAAAATAGAAATTTTTTTTTCGATTTTTTAAAAATAGAAATTTTTTTTTCGATTTTTTATTGCCTTAAAAAACTGCGTGTTTCACAGATTTGTCTTTAAGTACATTAAGTAGTCAAATTTGTGTTGCGTATCAGTGTTTATTTTGAGTATCGATCTGTTAAAGGACTAAACTTTTTCGAATAAAATTTCTTTGCGTATGCATTGAAGTTAACTATTACTATTATCTTTACCAACTAAATAAATTTAGAGATTTATGTAAAAGTTTACTGAATTCTTCAAAAGATTACCTAGTTTTTCAGATTTTATGTGTAAGAGTTACAGCTTACGCAAACCTTCCATAAATTTTGCACATTCGTTCTGACTAAAAACATCGCTCTAAAAAAGTGATCAGGCAATACAGCAATTATTTTGATAAAATTAAGACTGATGTCTTCAAGCCGTTTTAAGACTTGACTAAAATATGGTACTTGTTGCTTATTGATGCAGTACATTTCGTTATGATAGACAGTTTTAAGAAATAAGAGCCTAAGATATCACAAAACACAGGCAAAGTAAAATGAAAAAGACTAAGGCAAAATATTTTTTTATATAATATTACCAAGAAATTTTGTATGATATTTGGCAGTTGATAGCCAAAATTCCTGAAAGCCAATTGATAGCCATCATTCCTGATAGCTAACATGTCTAGAGACATGTTGGCTATCAGGAATGATAGTGACTCATGGAATTTTACTTTAAGCAAATAATATAAAAAGCATTTTTGCAAAACTTTTTGGTAGATTTAAGGATGTGAGATTAAAAAGTTTTACAAAAAATGTCGTTTTAGAATTCAAAGAAATATAAGAGGTATGTGACATGAGTTCTACCGCAAATTTTTTTCTCATTTTATAGGATTTGCATTAATCCTCTTTTTTTTTTGATCAAGTTTTAAAATTGACGCACATTTTTTATAATTTCTCAACTTTCTTTCCAATCCACAACCTTTATTTCATGGTATGGTAATACAACTGGCAGTTTTCTTTTAAACTTTATACTCACTTGTTAACGAATATTTAGGAACCTTAGAGTTTTGTGCCTCACTTCATAAATAAGTTTTTTCACATCTACTTGCTACCCATTTTCTTTGTTTATAATTCCGCTTTTAAAACTACCGTTACATGGATAAGGCAAAAAAGGAAGGAAGGGCGGGGGAGGAGAGGAGTATAAGATTATTATCAAAGCAATTATCATAAAAATTAAAAATCAAATCAAGTGTTTCTTCAAATAATTAAAAAACCCATGGATTATTCGTACAGCCTTCATCACAGCATTTCTGTTTGATGCTATTCTATTGAATTTTCATCTAATGTCATTTTTTTGAGTCACTCAAAGGAGTTTGATTACGATTCGGTTTTTTTTCATTGAAGTTAATTATTATCAGAGTATACAATTTTTGTTATATTTATTAATAGGCAAAATACTTTATTTTAGTAAAAAGTAATAAATTTTAAAAAGTACATAATAATCAAAATAAACTATACTTTTAAATTTTACCCAAACTCTGGCCCCTAATGCTACCTAAGTTTTTGTATTAAAGCGTCATTACCGGGACGCGGTTACTATTTCATTGTTAAACTAATGTTAAAAATAAACTTTTAAATGTAAAGGAGCAATAATATGACAAACTTTTTCCTTACTACTCACGAATGACGAAAATAATTTTTTGTGTAGCCATACTGAATCAACGAAAAAAACTGACATATTTCAGTAGTCAAATTCATATGTTTACCATGAACATTTCTGAAACTGAATAATACTTCTTTTTCGGAACTAGTAGTGAAAGTTAGTGGTGAAAAATTTAATATTTGTGGTGAATTAGGAGGGAGTTAGAAGTGTTTTAAAATAAAACTAATGCTTTTTAATCGGGTATAATGGGGAGTCGGGGAACAGTAAATGATCCCTAGTGCTACTTGTATATAAGATTTATATACATATATATAATCTCTTGTACATTTTCCATCAACAGCAGAAATGTATTTCCGAAATAGTAGTTCATTAGTATGCAACAATGCTAAAAGATATGAGTCTAATGTTAGCAGAAACTTCAATAGATCCTGCAAAAGCTTGACGCCAGAAAGACATTGCAAGATCACTGCAGTGGTCTTGCAATGCCTTTGTCTTATTTTATAATCACACTATTTCTTTTACTTGTATTGTTTATAGTGCCGTAACAAAAAACTACTTGTAGCGCACTTGCTGAATTTGCATCTGAAATTATTTTTAGTATCACATTTACATCGTCAGCTGCTTAACCTGTTTTTGGCATAACATGATCAATGTAATTGTTATTTGGAAATAATAAAATAACATAATGTTCTTCTTTTATACTCCTACGTAGAAAAGATTGACAATAAACAACTTTTTTTTTTTTTAATCATCTTCGCTTCCAACGAGGCTGCAAGCAACCACTAATTAGTGTTGAAAGTTACTGGATGAGAAAAGATGAAGATTGTAGAGCAAGATAACGATTGACAGACGACTTAAAAAATTGCAAATTATATAAATTAGGAAAGCAAGATGAAGGAAGCGAATTACAAAGAATTGATTTTCAAGGAAAAAAACTAGACGAATAAGAGTTTTTAAAGCACTTAGGAACAGTCACAGAAAAATGGCGAGACTTAATTAAATGAGATAAGACGTGAATTTTAGTAGATGGCACAGTAGAGGCTATCTCTTTTAGGAGTGCCTATTATAGTATTTGTAGAAAAGAGAAAGAGAAGCAACATTACAACGATGTGACAAAGGTTGAAGGTTGGCTGCAAGAGCAGGTTTAACTATGTTTACAATGCGTTTTTGCACCTTGTCTAAAAGAGAAAGGGCATCGTTAGAAGATCCGCCCTAGATATGGCAACAGTATTCCATACAAGGCCGGATTTGAAATTTATAGAGATAGAGAATAGAATCCAGAGTAAGAAAGTGTCGATCTCGATAAAGAGATGCAACTTTAGCAAATGCTAATTTTGCAACGGATTTGATATAAGGTTTTCAAGAAAGATCAGAAGTAAGAGTTAATCCTAGAAGATGAAGGGTAGATGACTCATCAAACACATTACCGTTCATAAATATAGAAAGGTCTAAATTATTGCGATAAAGATTGGCTGAAAAAAATTGAGTTTTATCTGAATTAAAGTTCACCAGCCACTGTGAGCCCCATGCCATTCTGCGTGATGAGCATTTAATCACCGGTAACAATAATATTGGCTGATGGATAATAAGAGAGAGCTCGGTCAATATGATCAGAAATAACATCAAAAAGAATACAGTCTTGAGATGAAGAAGAGCGATATAGAACAAAGAGAAAGATGATAGAGTGAAGTAGTGCTAAACAAAAGCACATAAAAGAGTAGTCTGTGGATTCAAACCTAATTTCTCGACAAATGGGTTAATTCTTACGAATGTAAATGTTCAGGCCAAGCATGTGACTATTGGAGTCTTTACGAATTAAGGAAGATAACTATCAACACTAAGATCACAAGATGAGACAGCTGAACTTTAAATTAGTCTCACAAAGAGAAAGTAGGTCTGGTGAACTTAGAAAGAGATAAGACTCAACAGAAGAAAAGTTACTTCGAAGACCACAAATATTAGTGAATGATAGGTCCAGCAAATTTGGTGATGACTGTGGTTTTTTGTGTTTTATAGTTTTTCTTACTTTGTTCATTTTTAAATTTGTTAAAGAGCTTGACTTGAAACATAGATAGTACTCAGTACAATGTTTAATAGCCCAAATAATTGTTTGATTACTATTAATAAACCTTAAGCCGTAACAAAGGGCTCCAATGTGGCCTTGGCAATGCACACTGAAAGTACAAACAGGGACACCATCCATGCGCAACATTGCTCTGTTAGTACTTTGATATTTTTCAGCTGCGGATGAAATCAGCCGTTCTGAGAGCTACCACAGAGTTCGGGAAAATCTGATTACTGGCCGGCGTCAGAACCATAAAACTGAGATTTAGAGCTGTACCCTCATTAGGAGATCATAAAATAAGTTGCGTAGTCATAAAAACAGAGACACAAGCAAAACCTATGCATCGAGTCAAGAAGATCCAGCATTCAACATCCTAAACTGGAAACAATGTATTAAAAATACATCTGCGCCAGCCTAATAGATGAAGAAGGGGTGCGAGGCTGCTCAATAGATAGAATCTGTTTACCCCTTGACTGATTAAAATAAACTACCTTTGTAGTTACTTAACTGATTGAAATAAACTGCCTTTGTAGCAAGAATTATCAATCACTTATTATTAACAATCTTCAATATAAATCAGAACAAGTGAAACGCGTATATTCTTGTAATATATTATTTGCCTCATTACAGGTTTAATGGGGGATACTACTATTAAGTTATTTAAAACAAAGTAACAGTGCAATGAAACGGTTGCGTTTATATGTAAACATATTTGTACGGTTGCGTAAAGTAAGATTAAACCTAAACAACAATGGATCCATTTAAGAAAAATCATAAAATAAAATTAAAAATCAATTAAAAATCCATATATTTGAAATGGGTAAAAATGGAAAAGGAGGAAAGGGTCGGTATGAAAAAAACGATAAAAAAATATCAATACAGAATTCCAGAAAGCTAAAAAACTTGAGTGATGAACAGGAAATTTCGTTGCCAAATCAAGAACTAAACGAGGGTTCGTATTATTTACCCCTATATAAATGGATATTAGGCAAAGTCATTTTGCTTTGTATTAAAATGACTGTAGTTGCCATCTTTTATTAATAAACATGTATTTTTACTAATAGATTTGATGTGATTTTTTATTCTCTTCAAGTTTTAATACAAAATTAAATACCATGTGCTTTACAGGAAACTCAGCAAATCTGTGAATGCGTTCTAAAATTAGTTTATAACAATGCCCATGATCAGATAAATCATGTTTAAAATCTTAGTATATTAGGGAAAAGATATTATTTTATGACAGCCTTTAACATCCATATGAATTCAATAGTAAAAAGTAATTTTATGATGCTTTATTAAAGTTATTGCAATTTTCATTGCATTAGATAGGAGCTACAAAAGTATAAATGAATTTTAAAATTCTAAAGTAACACCTAAGATTATTGGGAAGCATTTAAATTTCTGTTTCTCGAGTTAAAGTAGGGATTCGCTCTATTAATGATCACTATTAATGCTAAATATAAAAAACTCTGAAGGATGAGTCCTAAAGTAGCCAATACAATTTTTAAAAAAATGATATTTTTGATTGAAAATGTGCTATAATAGTTCATTGTGTAAAAGCATTTATAGATTAAATTTAGAAAGTTCCAGACCAGTTAGTCTTACCAGTTGAAATTCGTAACCTATTTGAGTTATTAATATAAGATGCCTTAATTAATTACTCTAAAATCACCACAAAACTTATTAAACCAATATATTCTGAATTACATGATTTATAATTCAAAGATGTTTATAAAAGAATTATTATGCTTGACCAATTTATTATTATTTTCACACAATTTGGTAACAATAGTGGTTATGTAGATGTGATATTCTTAAACTTTGAAAAAAGTCTTCAATAAATTTTCTCATCAAAAGTTGCCTAAAATATTTAAAAAGTATTGGAGGTCACAATAAAATCAATATTCTGGATATTCATCTGCAGAATTGATTTTATTACATCAATAAAGTCTTATTTGATTAGTTCTACTTAAGATAAAAAATGGAATCTGTTATTATAATTATTGTAATGAAGTTTTGTATAATTGTAAAATCAGTAATATAAATTTATCCTTTATTTATCTTAATAATTTTGGCATAGGTAAGAAAAACGGTATAATCATTTTAGATAAATTTTGCTGATTGTACCAAAATAATATTTTAAAGTGAATGCCACAAGCGAAGGTTTAAAATTACAAAAGAATTTGTAAAAGCTTGTTGATTTGGTTTGTTAAACGGCAAATGCTTTTAATATTACAAAATAATATATTTATAAACGTGGTCACTTGACAAATAGGAATGATAAATTGTTGGATTGCCTTTAAACACTTATTTATATATATTCAATTAAAATACTAAACTTTTACTTTTAAACTTTTTTTTTTTTTTGTGGTCAATACTTATTTTTTAATATTTATATTTTAGGAGCTCATTCAAACTTCCCACTAACACTTGCTATGTGGGTAAGTTTGCTTTTGTTTTTTGTAAATAATATTTTAATGTGTTTTTTGTAAATAACAATTGTTCAATTCTTTCATCTTCATTGACTATTATTGATTGAAAAAATATTTAAAGCATAATGATATAACAAATATATAAGCTCTGAATAAACACTGCACTTACTCTTTAACAATGATGTTTGGTGTTAATAAAATTATGTATTAATACTGTATTTTTATGAAATAATTATTTGGCTTTTCGTAGCTAGTTTTTTATATTTAAAATGGCTGTGTAATTGTTAGTTGTGTGAGGTTGTATCATATTTTCTATATCAATATTTTTCTCTAATGTTGCTTAAAAATGAAGTTGTCATAGAAGTGATTAGTGTTGCTGTAAGTATATTGTTAGTTGATTAAAATTGAACATTAATATTTGTCTTACTCTCCATCAACCTGTACAAATTATATAGAACATAGTTTTACCAGATTTATTTTTCTGGTTTAGAAAACAAATAAAACAAAAAAATTAAAAATAAATCTGGTAAATCAATGATAATAAAAAATAGGTTTTTATTTTCTTTTTCTTTTAATAAAAGCTTTTTTATTACATAAAAACTTGTTTAAAGTAAGTTTTTTGAGAATAAAAGTTCAAAGTATTTATACTCATAAATAATTTTGTATTTATTTTACTTTATTTATATAATTAAATTTATCTTGTATATTTTTATAAAAAAGTTTTTTGCAGCAAAATTTAAATATATTTTTCTTCAAGTTATTCCCAACTGCTTCAGCATGTGCATTTGCGTATTTTTTGTTGTTGTTTTTAATTGTGTAATTTTTGGATTTTGTTTTTAATTCATTTATAGAGAGTATTTGCATATACCAATTGCATTATGACAGTTACACAAAATGGTAGAAATAAATAAAGTTTAGTTTTAATGAATTTATAACAATTAAAATAAGACACACTTACAAAAAAATCAAGTACAGTTCTATGTTGAGTGCTACAAGAAGTGTTGAAAATGTTATATTTTTTTAGGTAACCTAGCAAGATACTTTTCTTTAAAATAGTATTTCACATTTTTCTAAATGTGTTTTGATTATATAATTTACAAGTTGTATATATAAATAAAAAATAATGAAATTTTTTAATGCATTATTTATCAATAAATGTATTAAAAAATTAATTAAAAAAAACTTTTAAAACAAATGCTAAATTTTTAATTATCATTTTAATATCAATTCGTTTTGTTATGTTATTATTGAACTTTTTTTTAGGATTTAGGACACTGTGATCCAAAAAGATGCACTGGTAGGAAGCTTCAGCGCCTTGAACTTCTTAAACTTCTAAGGTTAAATCACAGATTTAATGGAATTGTTCTAAGTCCTATAGGACAAAAATATGTGTCGAAAGCAGACTACGCAATTGTTCTTAATCATGGAGTTGCTGTCATTGATTGCTCTTGGGCAAAGTTAGACTCTACTCCCTTTGATAAAATGAAATGCAATAATCCAAGGTTGTTGCCACATTTGTTAGCAGCCAACCCAGTAAATTATGGAAAACCATTTAAATTATCATGTGTAGAAGCATTTGCTGCAACATTATTTATAATTGGTAAAAAAATAATAAATAAAAAAAAAAAATTTTGAAGTTTTAATTTTTACTTTTTTATCAATAAATATTTTCTATTTAATGCTTTTATGTACTTCATGTTCTTTTATTTACTTCAATCTCCTATAATTCTTATTTAAATTTAAAACTTAAAGCACGCCATATCATATGTAAACAAGTTATTTTGATTCTCAAAAGTTTTTTTGTCTTTTTTACCATTGTAAAGTATATAAAATTGTAAAAATGAATAAAAATATATGTTATAACTGTTCTGTTAGACAACTATGTGTTAGTTGTTTTAATAATAACATGATCTAATAACAATAATCACATAAAAAAAACTTCTGAAATCAAAGTACCTTTTACATACCTCACTCGTGAATGCATCTTTTAGCTAACATAAGCTTATAAGTTGTTTTTTTTTTTTTTTTTTTTTTATTTTTATTTTTACTTTTCTTATTTATTTATTTATACATGATAGTATTTTTGTTGATTTTAGTGAGCTTGCATTTTGTATATTAAAAAAAGAGTAGGTTTTGTAATATGTGTATTTATCAATTATTTCCCAAAGGGAAGGGATGGGGATTTTATTTTTATGCAAGAATTAATTGAAGATTAACAAATTAGTATTTGAGAATTTTTTTTATTTCAGGTTTTAGAGATTTTGGCGAAAATTTACTGGAGAGGTTTAAATGGGGTCCAAACTTCTTTCATTTAAATAGGTATTGTATGAATATATTACAATGTTTTCCTTTCAAATAATTTATTATTTAGTTTAATGTTTAGTGAACAAATTTAAAGTTATTATAGTAAATTAAGTAACAAAAACTCTATAAAAAAAAAGTAATGAACTATTTTTGAAACAAATTGCAAAAGACTTATCATTGAATTGTGAAAAGTTTAAATTAAATTATCAAAGTTATTGCTTTAGTTTTAAGTATGTTGATTTAATCATTCAATATCATTGAATATACCTTATAATATCAATTTCCTGGAGAAAGAGCAAAATTACTAATTATGATTATGATTGATTATAGTTATAATTATGGTAGTTATAGTGTTTATTACAATAATTATCATTATGAGTACAATTATGCTTATTATGAAGGTAATTATTCTAATTATTAGTTTGGTTTGATTATTTGTGGTTGATTAAGATAAGTTTATGAACTAAACTATATAATTAGAATGGTTTTATTGTTTAATTAAATGAGTGTGTTTGGGTAATTACTTATGCATAGTTGATTAATAATTTAAATGTTTTGAATTTGCTTATATTGTATTAGAGAATTATTGGAAATGTATAGTGCATGTGGTACTGATGAAGAAGTGCGTATCTGTGAGAAGAATTGGCTTGAAAAATGTGAAGCTGAATATCAATCAATAAAAAATACAGGTTTTTAATATTTTTATATTTTAATCTTGTATTTTATAAGTTTAATAACCTTTTTTTTTTGTTATGAAAATATAAATTTAATTATAAAATTATTTTCAATTGTTTATTATCAAGTGATTGATGAATATTTTATTGTTTACTGATTATTTTAAGATATGGAATATATTGACATGAGCCTTACTGAAGGTTTTAACCCTAACAGAGCTTCAAATCTGTTACCTGGGAAAAAGTATGTTTTTATGTTTTTTTATTATTATATATGATTTTTAAAAACATAAAAGTTCATTATTTTATAAAAGTAAAGCTAATTCCATTGAACTTTCTAAAATAGTATGGAAAATAATAAAAAAAGAGTTTAAATCATGTCCTTTTGAGGAAAATTCTAAACCAGGAAAAACCTGGTGGTAAATCATGCAATCTATGCTTGATAAAGAAATAATTTCATGTGTTTAAGTAATTAAAGTTGTTTACAATTTAATTGTTGTCATGAAAACAAATACATCAGTATGAAAACAAGATCAATAACTTTAATGTCATCAAGGAGGACACTCCACAGTATTTTTTATATATCTTTTTAAGATTTGCAAAATCTGATAATCGGTAATTTGTGTGAAAGTCTGATTTCTGTATAAAATAAATCTAGTTTTTTAATTATTTTGTTATTACTAAATAATTAAATTTTATATATATATACAACCCTTGGAATTAGGGTCAGCATTCAGCAATGCCAACCTTGTTTCTATGTTTTTCGGTCTGCAGCCGTATTCTCATCTCTCCATTAAGTTTAACGGAGCGTTTGTCAAAAATTTCATTACAACATTTCTAAGTAAAGAAATGACAAAAACTTTATTTAAATTTGTTTAAATAAAACTAAGACTAAAATAAAACAATTTTATTTAAAAAATTATTTTTTTTAAAGAACTTTTTTTATTAATGTAGTTAAAAAGAACTTTTTGACAAATGCTCCGTTAAGCTTAACGGAGAGATAAGAATACGGCCACAGACCTTTGTACCAAATAATTTTTTCCAACCTGATGCCGACCTCAAAGAGATTGAGGTTGGCATCAGATTGGCAAAAATTATATATACATACACAGTGTGGGCCAAAAAAAACCGTCCAAGATTTTTTTGCAGAAAAATTTACATTTTATGGGTTTTAAAAGCATTTCTCAGATATTTAAACCAATATCTCAACTTTTTGCATATTTCTTGTTTATTTAAATGTCTTATATCTCATTTCTTATATTAAAAAAGAGTTTCATATTGAGTATAAGTTAACTTTTTTCTTCTTTTCTCAACAATTTCTTATTTGGGCTCTTATTTGTTATAGTTATGGTTAATAACTCTTAAGTTATTTAAATATTTTGTAATAAAATATAAATTGTAGGGTTAACCTTATCCTAACCCTGTATATATAAAAAAATTCTAAGATGTATTTATTAATGATGAAATATGCTAATTTATTACATTTTAGACTAGAATAATATATAATATATAAAAATGGTTTTAAATGACATTATTAAAGGAAGAATTATTGAGATGTCATCCTTTAGTATGACTCATAGAGATATTGCAAGCAAGGTTGGATGCAGAAAAAGTACTGTTACTGATTTTCTAAAAAGTATCACCATGAATGTATAAAAGCCACAGTTAAGCATCAAAAAAAGATTAACGTATGGGGATGCTTTGCCGCGCATGCTACAGGAAAGATTCACAAGATTAAAGGCAATATGAATCAATACCAGTAACATAGTATCCTTGTTCATAATGCAAAGCCAAGTTGCTTGAAATTATTTCCAGATGGTAACTATGGTAACTATCTATTTCAACAAGATAATGATCCTAAGCACACTGCAAAATATAACAAAGCATATGTTGAAAAAAATATGCTAACATGTTGAAAATTTATATAATTAAATTGTTATTATATATATATATATATATATATATATATATATATATATATATATATATATATATATATATATATATATATATATAGTACTAGATGCTAGTTATTATATATATATATATATATATATATATATATATATATATATATATATATATATATATATATTATTTATTTATTTATATATATATATATATATATATATATATATATATATATATATATATATATATATATATATATATATATATATATATATATATATATATATATATATATATATATATATAAGTACTAGGTTTTGAGATTTTGTTTCAAATAAATGACTCTTTCAAGATAATAATAGAATACAATAATTCTGCCAACAAATATTTTGTACTATGTATATTTGGTAATACTTTTGTATTTATGAAATCATTATTACATTATAAAATGTGTCTTTTGATGCTTTAATGTTGATTTTCTTCAAAAAAAACATTTTGGTGGTTTTTTTAATCCTTTTAAATATATATATATACATTTTATATATACGTGTTAAAAGCATGATATTTATATATTGATACTTTAAATAAAATCACTCATTAAATTTGTTTTCTGTATATTTTACATAGAAATTTTGTAAAACAACCACATAAAAAATTTCTTGGCTGTTTTTTTTTGGCCCATACTGTATATATATATATATATATATATATATATATATATATATATATATATATATATATATATATATATATATATATATATATATATATATATATATATATATATATATATATATATATATATATATATATATATATATATATATATATATATATATATTTATTTATATATATATATTTATTTATATATATATATATATATATATAAATATATATATATATATATATATATATATATATATATCAGTCTTCTCCGTTTGAAATTTAATGCCAGCGCAAATGATACAATCAAAGCTCCTTACATGGATGTTACTGCCATTCATCAAATGCATCGATATAAAACAGTATGTGCAGAACCAGATGCCGTAAATGCTGTGTTGAATTCTTTATTCAAACATACATGGTATCTAGATTCAATTCTGATTCCTTTAACTTTGCTGAATGATGACGTTACACTTGAAGAGAAGAAAAAAATTGCTGCTGCAATTTTATCATATCCGAAACCAATGCCATGCGATTTTAAAACAAAAAATAAACAGAACAAAGACATAAAAAAAATGTTAACACTTGAACTAGACATTCATCAGCAGCCTCCTAGCTTAGCTCCTTTGGTTGATGAATTCTCCTGGTTAATGTTTGAGATGGTTGGAATAGATGAACAGCGAATTGAGGACTGGCTGATCTTGCCACCTCAGTATTGGCACACGCAATCATCGTTTAGATTTTTATTTCTAAAATTTGCAAAAAGTATTGTTTGTGTAAATGACCATGCTGAGAGGGCTATTGGAATGATGCAACAATTTGTTTACAGCTACAGAGATAAGGAAGAAAAACAAAATAGACTTATTACTGTAGACAAAATTCGTTCAATTCTCAAGGACTCAGACAGCGAATCGTTATCAACCAATAAAATAAATAAGCAAGTATTAAGCAAGAAAAGAATCACAATTGGATTACTTAACATACGCTCCAAAATACAGAAAATAAATTGAAACAAGTTACAAAAAATTAAAAAAATCATTCAATCAACTTTTATTTTTCTCAAAAGATTAATTAAAATAAAATTAAATTTCTTTTTGAAACGTTGAACAACGTGATTATATATAAGTCATATAAATGCAGAATTATTATGCATTATTTTGTTAAAAGCGCATTAAAACTTTTTTTTTGCGTATTTTTTTGTAAAATCTTTTTTTTATTTAAACAACAATTATGAAAAAAACCAGTATACACAACAAACTAGAAAAAAAGTTTAGACCATTATGAGCAAAATATAAAAAAAAAATTACAAAATATTAAGTTTTACCTAGCGCTCAAAGCCAAATTACTTGGGAACTATTTGGAGCATTTTTCGGGGTATTTTGCCGCTTGAGCACAAGGTAAATGTCAATATTTTTGAATTTTTTTTTTTTTTAATTGTATTTTATTTATGTTTGCCCCAAATTTGGCTTATTGTGTATTCGCGTTTTGAAAAAATTTCAAAATGCGAATACACAATAAGCCATAATTTGGGGTATTTTTTAAAAATTACAGTATTCATAAATGAATACTGTAATTTTTAAAAAATTTGAAAATACACTTATATAAAAGGAATATATTTATATTTATTACATAAATAGTAACAAAAGCAGAAACAGAAAATGTAATTAGTCAATAAGTTAAAACATGAAGAAAAGAAAATTTACTTATAGGGATAAAAATCTTGTAATAAATTAAAAAACTTGATGATTTATGACTACTATATATTTTATAATGCATTATCTGATTATTATAACTAATACTAGTTTATTCATTAGTTATATTTAGCTAGTGTAATTTTCTTTAAGTTGATTAATCAATAAATAATCATTAAAAATAATTAAAATCAAAAAAGTCAATTTAAATAATGATTTTTATTTGTCTGATAAAAATCATGATTTAAATCGATTTAAATCAAATGATTTAAACCAATCAACCAACCAAACCAATCAACCAAACAAACCAATCAACCAACCAAACCAATCAACCAACCAAACCAATCAACCAAACAACCCTGTTTATAAAAAATTTTCAATTTGATATTTTTACTATTTTAAATAATTGTTTTATTAAAAAAATAATAATAAACATTTAAAAAATATTATTTGGAATTGACTCTATTAAGATTATTATTCCAGTTTCCCTTTTACTGTGCTTATGTTAAATAACAAAATATTCACATAGAAAAAGTTATTTAAAACACAAGTTTCTAAGAGTAATATAAGTGCAGCCATTTTGTAGTATATACGTATCAAGCAATTAATGATAAATGGATAACATATATACACATGTATATATTATATATAACTTTAAAGTACGTACACAATAGATATATATACATATGTATATAATATACTTTATTAATATTATACTTTAATATATATATAATTAATATATATATATATATATATATATATATATATATATATATATATATATATATATATTTATATATATATATATATATATATATATTTATATATATATATATATATATATATATATAAATAGAAACTTCAATCTAACCAACTTCATTTTGTCTAAGTTCTGGGAGTCCTTTAAGTTCTAAGTATACGCAAACATCTTATACACTCCAGTTTAAATAATCTGCCATTTTTAAATTGTAACAAATGGTATATTTATTTATCTAAACAAAACCATTCGCAATATACAATGATATATTTATTTATAATATGCATGATAAAAGCATATAGGAATAAGAAAACTGCTCGAAAAGTAAAAAAAAAAAAAACACGTTGCTTTTATATTCGCTGTTGATGTTAATAACGGCAATAAAAACAACTCAAAAGTTTAAGGCACAAATTAAATACTGTCATGATAATGACAGTTGTTATACCATTCTTTATAAATTCATACTAGTTATTATACCATTCTTCTACTAGTATGAATTTATAAAGAATGGTATAATAACCATATAATTGTTATTATGGGTTATTATAATTATTATAGGTAGACTAGTCTGAATTTATAAAGAATGGTATAACAACCATATTGTTATATACCATTATACCATTCTTTATAAATTCATACTAGTCTACCTATATAACGACTGATTAGAAAAATAAAATGGCGTTTACAAAAGATTTGAAAAACCCTAAATTAAGGTTCTTCGAAATTTTTCGTAAAACGATTTGAAGAACCTTGTGGGTTCTTTGTATTGCTTTGTAAATAAGCCGCCGGTTCTTCAGAGAACCATTAGAGAATATTAAGAACCCGTAGGTTCTTTAAAGAACCTTAAATTTTCTCCAAGAACCTTTAGGTTCTTTAAAGAACCCGCAAAGAGCCGCGAAGAACCTTTTGGATTTACAGTGTATATGGTACCTAAATTTTCTTCAGTGAATGCATAAATTGTTTTACATTGGGTTGCAAACTTCTGTCTTTACATTTTAAAATTAACATAGGTCTTGTTTTCTTGTCAGCTGTTGTGATTGTAGACTTTTAAAACTAACATAGGTCTTAATTTCTTGTCAGCTGTTGTGATTGTAGTTACTGGAATTCCTAGAGTCTTGCCTTCTTATATGCTTTCCAAGTGCTTTTAATTAAAAGAGTTGCTTTTTACAGCAAAACCTTTTTGATAGACTATTTCCCTTGGTTGATATTGTTTTGGTTTTAAATCAATTTATGAATTGATATAAAGTAATTGACAGAGTTTTTGTATGAACTGCTTTATTCTGAGGTGCCAAAAAAATGAAAGATTATTCTGCCGCGGATAAAGGAGGGAGGAATGAGACTATTTTGATCATTTTGAAAACAAAAAATTAATAAAAATATATACAAAATATCGTTGAAATTTATTTTTTCTAAAGCAATGTCAACCCTGTGTCTCGAAAGAACTTTTAAAAAAAGATATCGAGATTTAAAATATTGCAATTTTTATTTATTTATACTTTTAAATTGCCGTATCAATTTTTGCATATAAAATAAAATTCAATAGTTTTTTTAAACCAATATTATTTCAAAACACATAATTGTTTTTTGTATTTTAAGTATTAACATTGCCAGTAATCTCATTACGAAAGATAAAGCGTTTAATGTATTATTTTATACTTTTTTCAGATATCTTGATTCTTCTGACGATGATAGTGACAAGTCACCGAATGACATTTCAAATGAATCCGAAAGCGATGAGGATGAATCTTCCAAAAACGATGAGGATGAATCTTCCGAAAACGATGAGGATGACTCCTCCGAAAACGGCGAAGAACTTGATAGATTTGGAAATACTATGCCCAAAACTAAGCAAGTTTTAAAAACTGTATTAAAACACGATTAAACTTAGACATTTTAAAAACTGTATTAAAGTGAACAATAAGCCTGGTTTTCAAAATACTCTCGTGTGCTTAATACACGGGAAGTGACGTTTATAAATTTTCGGAGATTTCCCCACCCACCACAAGCTTATAAAGATCCCCCGTTTGTTAATTTTTACTTTTTATCAACGAAAGAACTATATCTTCAAACTAAAAAAAAAAAACAGTGTTAAATAAACTTATTTAACACTGTTTAACATTAACCATCTCCTTCTCCAAAAAAAATTGTATTAATACTTATTATAAAATGGCGCGATAATGTGTCCCTATATCGACTAACTTTAAAAGACAGCAGTGTAGCGACCATTTATCGACTAACTAAAATAGCGGCAACCGTTTCTTTGTTTGCAGCTTAATTCTTCACAAAATATTTGTGAAAAATTAAGTTGCAAACAAAGAAACGGTTGAGTATATATTCATATTAAATTCAAATTAGAGAGATCAAAAAAGAAACAAATCTGATGTGCAAAGATATGTGCTCCGTCAGGGTTAGCTGCAAAAAAAAGTTTTGTTTTTTTTTGGCGAGGATTTTTCTTTTCGGGGTTTTTTCCAGGTGGATTTTTTCTCAAGGTATTTTATCTTGGGGAATTATTTCCTAGAACCTTTTTCTTCTCACAGTTGAATAAAACTTATATAAGTTATATAAACTAATAAAACTTATATAAACCTATTTGAGGAATTTTGGGAAACATACACTTGACTAAGGATAGAGTATTTTCTAATTTTACGACATTTGATATTATTTTAATACTGTCTGTCCAGTAATAAGATCTGAAGTAAAAAACAAAGATATAAAAAATTGATTTAAAAATCAAAATATTACATAAGGTTTTCAAAATCATTTAAAAGAAAAAAAAAATTTCGAAATCAAAATTTCAAAGGTGACAAAATGTAAATGTTCTAGCCTTGCTGGTGGTACAATTTGTCTCATAATAATTTATAATCGATGTTTGCAGCAATTGAATTCTGAACTGAAAAACCTTTAAACTTCTACCGCTGCAGCGGTTGAAGTTTTTTGCGCACACGTCACGATAGAAAATACTTAAGCTTTTAATGTGCTTTTAAATTAGTTAAGTGTGCTCATTTAAAGAGACAACTTTTTTTCTTTTACAAAAGAAGATTTTACATTCAAACTTTTATTATTGTCAAAATTAATGAACCGGGCGAGGATCCTAATAAGATGCTGATGGTATGAAAAAAAATTTAATGAAAGTTATTAAAGAAAAAAGTTTGTAAGCCTTTATTTTATAAAAATTTACAATAGAAAACAACTTAATAACAACTTGACAGTAAGAAGTTAATAACAACTCGACAGTAAGAAGTTAATAACAACTCGACAGTAAGAAGTTAATAACAACTCGACAGTAAGAAGTTAATAACAACTCGACAGTAAGAAGTTAATAACAACTCAACAGTAAGAAGTTAATAACAACTCGACTGTAAGAACTTAATAACAACTCGACAGTAAGAAGTTAATAACAACTCGACTGTAAGAGCTTAATAACAACTCGACAGTAAGAAGTTAATAACAACTCGACAGTAAAAACTTAATAACAACTCGACAATAAGAAGTTAATAACAAATCGACAGTAAGAAGTTAATAACAACTCGACAGTAAGAAGTTAATAACAACTCGACAGAAGTTAAAAAGTATTGAACATTGATCGTTACTCAAAACAAAAAATTTCCAGATTTTTATTTTTTACCAATTACAAAAAAATTATTAAATTAAAACGACTATATAAAGAATAAGTATAGACAGGGTCGGTGTGGAAATGACCTACCATGATCCGTATTATACGGGTCATGGTAAATTCATTATTTCCACATATTTCTAAGTCTAAGTCTTAATTTTTTTAAATTTTAAATGCCAATTGCAATTAATTAACACATTTCGAGCTGGTATTCTAAATATTGTTTAGAATACCCGCTTCGGGTACTAATATCCGAACCGGCGGTTTGCGCAACAGCTGTTTAATTATGGCATAAATTAATTTTTAATTCATAACTATAAATGATAGACAATATGTATAGTTTTTTTTCCGCATACTGAAAAATATTGAAAAAAGTAATAAGTATAGAAATGGTCGGTATAGAATAAACTTACCAAGACCGCACAGCAGCCGTGGCGCAGTGATTGCGCACTTGTCTTAGAAATAAGTGATCCGTGGTTCAAACCCCACCTCTGGGCAAGTTTTGCGACATCGTTTAGGAAGGAGGCCTGAGCTTCCAATTAAATGCCCATCTACGGTACTCTGTGATAAGACTGTAATGACTTCTTGGGGCATCTAAAATTAAAAAAAACAAAATAATAAAATAAAAAAGACCCGCTCAGTTTAACGACCAAATATTCCTCTGTCAAATATTCGGCGACATTTATTTTGTTATTATACTTAGTTATTATACATTAAATTTGTTTAACTGCCAAGCGAACACTTCCTATTGGAGGCCATATGGGCAATAACTTTGCATTGGATATACCTTGGGCATAAAACTATCGTGTAATTATATTTCATTGGTTTATTCTAGGTCCTAGAATTGGATGGAACTTTATAAGCTAATTTTAAGCCGGCTCTGCAGTTTCTTTTACAATTTTGTTTATACGCTAAAATATTGGCAATATTTAATTGCAGCTATACATATTTATTGCAATATTTATAATAAATATGTTTTCATTATAAAGTTTAGTTTACAAATATTAGTATGTGTTCCTTTGCTACACAATTATAAATTTAAATAAAAATAAAAAATAATTGCATATAACTAATTCCTCCGTGCTATGGTTTAAAAAATGCTGCATAGAAACTTTATAATCCGTTTAACTAGAACTAGTTATGTAACCTTTGCTGAGTTGATGATATAAAAATAAAATTAAGGAATAGCTTCACAGCTATTCCTTAATTTTATTTTTATTTTTGTTAGCTAAAGTATTATATTTAGCTTATTAACATGTATATGGTATACCTGATTCACCATCATTCATTTATGTAAATCTTGAAAAACGAGTGGCATACTTTACATTAAATAAACACTTAAACCATGAGTATACTTAAATACACTTGATTTAATTGGTTAGAAATGCGAGTGTAGTTTTTTTTCTAATTCCTAGCTTTAATAAGCATCATCTTACATAGAACTTTAATAATTGTGTAATGGTAATTACGCAATTTATTTATTTATTATAATTAAAAATTCGACCGTTACAATGTTTTATTTTATAAAGCATCACCGTTGCGTTCAGCATTAGAACTATACAGCGGATAATTAAAAGAGTGTTTGATTCAGTAACGTCAATTTTTTTTAATCTCGATGATTCTGTCAGTTTTCCAGACCAAGCAACTATGTTTATATGTTTTTATGTTTAAATAATTATATGTATTTAAGAGTGGATATTTATATATGTATTATTAAACAATTATTATTTATTCAAAATCTGTTCAGGCGATTCCTGAGGACAAGATCTTATGATCTTTTGCAAGTATCCGCGTTCTTATTGTAATGTTAACAAAATTTTTAATTCTTACTTTATATTTTATTCCTTCTTTTATTGTAAAACTCATTTTGAATAAATAAAAAACTAAACAGTAACAAAAAAAACATGGTTTAAACTTTATTGAGAATGTCAACTATACGGTTGATTTTTATATTAATGCACGTTCCAAAACATATTTCAAAGAATTAGTTTAAACACAGAAAGGAAAACAAAAAAAGATTTTGAACCCTCTGAGAAAGAATAAGTTAGTGACAGGTTAATCCTTCTCAGTATAAGCTTCAGTGATGATTTATTTTCACTTCGTAAATGTAAATGAAAACGATCAAACCAGTCTCTATAAAACATATGGAAACATATGAAGATGTGGAAAAAAATCAAATTGCAAATGAAATTAGTTTTTACACGAAACTGTTTGCTCAAATTGGACACCAAACCCGTACAAGTTGTGGTCGGCAAACTAAAAACATTATCCTAACTGAACTTTAAAACTTCCTATTATTTACGGGTGACACATAGTGAATAACTATTTTTGGAATTATGTATAATTTCTGAGGAATTTGCAATCTATGTTGATATCATCAAACGATAAAAATATTTTGTCATAACTTATTGCCTATAGGCTTTAAGTATTAAATATGCCAAATATTTGTTAAAATAAAAAATACAAAAAATACTTGTATGTAATCCGTTTTTTGGTATTCGGCCGAATAGTTTGCAACACTCAGGGGAGCGAACTTTTTGGGGTAATTTGTTCACAAACTCCAATTACCAAAATTTTTTGCAAAACGTTCTCATTTGACACAAGCATGAACATACTTAAAAATACATACCTGAAAAATCAAAAAATAACTCTGTCTACATCATTGGGTGTGTATCAAGTTATGTTGTATATTTTCAATACTAAATATAGATCTTAAAATTAAATCTTGAGGAAATACACAAACTATTAGGGTTTTTTAAATCCTAAATTTTTTTCTTAATCTGGTAAGTCAAGTATCCTTTAAACCATAGTAAATTTTTGGTTTTTAACTCCATAGTGTTTTACTTTTTAAAAGTTATTTTGTGGTTTACTGTGTCAAAAGCTTTGGATAAACCAATAAAAAACTATTTTTTTTTTTTTTTTTTTTTTTTTTTAGTGTAATTTATTTCGCCGTTAAAAAATGTTTACATTGCATACACATTTATATAAATTGATGGCTGGAGCAAGAAGAACGCACATTTCGCCTTATCGCCGAGCCCCATTAAAAATTCTACATAACCGTAACATACAAATACATATATAAAAGAAACAATTAGAAATAAAATAGAAAATAACTAATATAATAAAAAAAAAAAAAAATAAGAATTAATTAAGAAGCGTTAAGATGCTTAACAGTTGCTAAAATGTTTAAGAAATAAGTTCCTGAATATAAAAGAAATTGAAAAAATAAAATCTCATAATTAACACTAAATGAATATGTAACATATGACATCATCACTTGTGACATCATCACTTGGATATATGTAACTTATGACATATATGTAAC